CATCTCCTGCCAGCATGGCTAGTGATTGCATTTGCCAGAGGGGATGTGATTTATTACCCAAGACATTTGAAGTACACCAGGTTGGCAGAGGCTGCTATGAGCCTTCAGAAAGTCTTGGAGCCTAGAAACCAGGCTGCACCACCTTCCTGAGTTTGAGCAGTTATCTTTCTTCAAGCTCAGCCTGAAGCTTTGCAGATATTGTTTTGTTCTTTTCTATCGGATCCTTAGCTCCTTGTGGGAAGGGGGGAATAACACACTTTGGCTTTCTTTCTTTCTTTCTTTCTTTCTTTCTTTCTTTCTTTCTTTCTTTCTTTCTTTCTTTCTTTCTTTCTTTTTGTATTTTCTTTTGGAATACAACTCACTGAACTCTCAAGCCAGCGTGCCTGATAGCTGTGCTGCTTGAGGGATTTCTAGTCCAGGAAAAACAGTAACAACCCTTTCTTTCTTTCTTTCTTTCTTTCGGAATACAACTCACCGAACTCTCAAGCCAGCGTGGCTGATAGCTGTGCTGCTTGAGGGATTTCTAGTCCAGGAAAAACAGTAACAACCCTTTCCCAAGATTTGGGTTTGCAAAAAAAAAATAAGATTTCATGAACAGATGATAAAGTCCCTTTGTTTGTTTTGGTTTGGACCATCTATACTCTGCTCCACAGCTAGAAAGAGAAAAGCAAGGCAAGAGTATTTTAAATAAACAAAATAAACAGAAGGCGTTTCAAAGCATCTTATATGGCAATAAAAATGCAACAGATTTACAGCCTTTAAAAAGCAGGATATGAGAGAGGTAGGGAAGGGCAGAAGAAGACAAGAAAGCTCAGGCAGAAGTTTGGAATGATGCGGTCCCGGAGTCTGGGGAATGGATGCGAGATGATAGCCAGGGAGATACAAAGCCCATCAGACTTGGCTTCTGAGACCACTGAGTCAGATCATTGTCTGTTACATAGGAAGAATTCCAGGGTGAGGAGACTTTTTACGGGAATCCTGGCCTCAACCTGTGAGATCCTGGTGCTAGATGGAGGGTCAGGTGGGTAGATTAATGGTGCCTCTGAGCATCTATCTGCTTAGCCAAGCAGTATCAGAACTGGGCTAGAATTGTCCTTTTGTATGAATATCCACTTTGCATTTTCTCCAAGCATCATTTTCCCACTACCTAATTTGAAGTGGAGAAATATCAGTGAATTATGACCTTTCTCCATTATGAAAGTAAGGTTTTTGCTTTCCAAAAAAGTTCTTACTCAGATATCTTTGTCTCTCTTCTCAGTCTCTTTTGGATCCTGGTATGACCATGTCAAAGGCTGGTGGGACAAGAGAAAAGAACAAAGGATGCTCTACCTCTTCTATGAAGACTTGAAAGAGGCAAGATTTTTTCCTCTTCACAAATAGTAATTCTCCACCCCTAACAAAAACAGGAACATTAAAGTCCCTATCAGCTTATCTAAGCAAGAAGTCTTTCAAGACCTTCTTCTACCTACCTTCACCAGTAATGAATGGACTCATAGGTGTAGAACATGTAGCCTTCCAGATGTTATTTGAGGAGTGTGGTTAGGAATGATGAGAGTTGGAATCTGACTCATCCACTAATTCTCTAATGGACTAATCCATTTAGTCTAGTATTTTGCTTCCGGTAACAACCTACAAGCTGCTTCTGGAAGCACACCAAGGGAAAGTCTGCAGTCTCGGTAGCCAAATATAACAATACCAGATGGCTGATAATCCAGCCCTGAATTTAATTCAGCATTAACATTCTAGATGCCACATCCTTCTTCCCATCTCCCTTTCCCAAGATAGGAGCCATGGCTTCTTACAATTGTTCCTTTTCTTCCAGGATCCGCGGCGGGAAATCCGGAAAGTCATGGAATTCCTGGAGAGGTCCCCTAATGACCAGCTGGTGGAGAAGATTGCTCACAAGACCTCCTTCAAAGAGATGCGTCAGAACCCAATGGCCAACTACACCAGCATTCCCAGCTCAGTTATGGACCACAGTATCTCGCCTTTCATGAGGAAGGGTGAGCTGGTTGGATATTGGGAGGCAGTCAAGAGGTGTAGCTGGATTGATCAGAAGGAAAGCTAAGGAGATAAGAAATTAAAATCACAGCAGCAGGGGAGGGGGCACAGAGCACAATGGTGTCTTGAAGAAAAAGACCCAAGGTACAACTAGTCACTGTTATTTTTGCTGCTGCTATTGCCCATCCTCATCATCATTTTCATCAAGTGGAGAGCTGGAAGGGACCCTACTGATCACTGAGCCCAGCCCCTGACAAAGAGGCAGAGTGAGGAATTGGACTTCCAATCTCTGGCTCCGCAATCAGATAGTTAAACCACAAAGCTATGATCCTTTTTTTCCAGGATACTCCACTCCACTTCTCTTCTCTGTGCTGATTTTTCTTCCATAATCGAAATAGGCAGCACGCTGTGCTCACTGAATATACTCAGTTTTCAGTGAGTTGGTTGAACATGAATCAAGGCGTTTCGTTCTCTTTTCCTGATGAAAGATTTTTATAATACTTCTGCAGTCTGAGGGATCTCCATTGCTGGACGACATCTCTGTGATGCACAGCTGGCCCTGCCATAGGGCAGAGGGAAAAGGCCACATCAGGCAGCAGATCCTGAGAGAGGATGGCAGAGAAGAAACCTGTATGCCACAGGACTTGTCATTTTCAGATCCAGGAGAAGAGACTGCCTGATTGCAGGAGTGATGAAAGGTTGAACTGCATGTCCAGTATTTAGCTGTTCCTCAGAGCCTGAAAGCCTCTTGGCTCAGAGGATCAGAGGATCAAACCCAAGGGCCAGGTTGGACAAACTAGACTTGACTCACCCTTTGCTCTGTCTGAGGCTGTGGCAAACTAGGGGTGCCCTAGGTGACATACTCTTTAGACCCTATTATGATCTCCTGTACAATTGAACAATGTCTAATGTCAAATTAGTCCATTTTTGCTTTGTGATCACTCTTCAGGAAGTAAAGATTGGTTTCAATTGCGTATCTGACTGCTCTGGCTCACGTTTATGAGGAATCTTAAATGCTGACATATAAATGTGTTATCAATGTTTAACTAGAAGCTCAACTTCTCGCCTTAATAGGAGGGAAAGAGAAAAAAAAGAGATTTAGGAAAGTGAGATCAGAAAAGTATAGGCACTCCATGATCTTCTATCCTTCTGTCATATGGACATGTGATTAGTCAGAACTGTTAGAAACTTGTATCTTTGATCATCAGGGTCTTGACTATTGTTCCTTTTCTTCAACACAGGAATCACTGGTGACTGGAAAAACCATTTCACGGTGGCACAAAATGAGCGCTTTGATGAAGATTATAAGAGGCAAATGGAAGAATCGACCCTCCATTTCCGCTCGGAGATCTGATGGTGCCTGCTCCCCTTTCATGGTTGTGGCCTCTTTTCAGTGGCAAATTTACAAAAACTAAATTTTAAATAAGTGATTCCTTTTATTGGCAGCAAGATCAATGGCAGGTTCAGATTCTTAGAAGTTGGTTCACCAATGTGGGCTTCTCTTTGATGAATACATCTTCATGTCAAATACTGAAGATCTCTAGTAAGTAAGCCATAGTCCCTGGGGCTTCTTTCCCACATGGGTTTCAACACTCGCAAGGCATTTCGAACTCTAGGTGTCCACGCTTTCTTGCTATTTCTTTCAGTGTGCACACATTAGCTCCGTCCCTACTTCCTACACAGGTCCTCTACTGATAGCAAGATATTTCTCAATGATATCTCTACCTCTCTCACCTGAGCACAGTTTTCCAGCTGTCCTGAATGATTCCCTCTCCCTTATCCTTTGATGCCAAATGCACACACACCTCCCTGAGCATCATGGGCAATCTCAATGGTTTTCGTCAGTTTTCCCTCCCACCTTTCTCCTTGCTTTCCCCACTGTCTGTTTTACACTGTAAGGTGCTTGGAGGCAATACTTATCTACATTGCCTTTTGTAATTCTAGAAGATGTGATATCTGGACAGGTAACAAATAAGATAAAATCGATATGCCTTCTGGATCTGTCCAGGCTGTACTCAGAGTGAAAGGAGTACATTGTGCTCTGGGACTCTGAATCCATTCAACATTCTTCTCTGGATTCTATGTCACTTTTCATCATTCTGTGTCAAGAAAAAAATGTGAATTGTTTTTCAATGTGTGGTTCATAGAATTATAGAATCATGAAGTTGAAAGAGGCCAGTGAAGTCCAGCCCCTTGCTCAGAGCAGGTATAACTTTTGAACTTTCGGCTGCCTCCTCTTGCCAACAAATGTAGGAAAGAGTTCAATATCAGTTAGTTATTAAATTTCTGAATCAGATGTGAAGTTTCTCTGTCTTGTCTCTATTTAGTAGAATCTATTGCTCTGTCCTTGTATAAGCTTTTCAAAGTGAAATCTGTGCCACAAAGCTGACTCCTTAGAATTTTCACACATATATATTGTACTTACATCTGAACTACAGTAGGACCCCCATATCTACAGGGGATAGTTTCTAAGCCCCATCCCCGTGGATGCTTAAAAAAGTAGTTTATAGCAAATGCTATCATAATAGCAAATGCTATACTGAGCATGGTCTCTGATGGCTTCTCATGGCCAGCTCTGCTAATGACATCATATTTCTCTAAAGGTAAAGGTAAAGATTGCCCTTGACATTTTTAGTTCAGTCGTGTCTGACTTTAGGGGGGCGGTGCTCATCCCGTTGTTAAGCCGTAGAGCCAGCGCTTGTCCGAAGACAGTTTCTGTTGTCATGTGGCCAGCAAACACTGTACAGTACATAGCATGACCGATGGGTCCCTCTAGTGTCCAGTTCTGGTAATTTCACTGTTTTAAAATATATTTTGGGATTTTTTTTTCTTTTAATATTTTAAGACCGTGGCTTAAGTGAGTCACCAGATACTGATCTGATGGATAAGGAGTGTGTGTGTCATACTGGTTGTTGTTTTTTTAAACAGACATTAAATAAATGGCATCAGGTAATCATTGTCCCTCTCAGGATATTTCCAAAAAGAACAATTATTCTTTCACTAAAATATGTCCAGGAAAATAGAAGGCTGAAGGCAATCTGGAGAGAGGACAAGAATGGGTTAGACTCCAGCGTGCCATACATCCTTGCGCTCAGTTTCAGTTCGAACCCTAAGACCTACTGTCTTTATGAGACCTATGCGACCTTTACAATTCAAGATTTCATAAGATATTCAGAGGAAGATAACTGATTTCCCCCTTTGAAAATTATGGAAACTAGTTTCAACATGTGAACAACTGCATTTTTAATCCTAGATGCTTCTTGCACCATCAGTGTTGTCTTTCCACGGCTTGATGAATAAAGAACACTTTCCTGCAGAGACCTGCTTTGGGGGGCTATAACCAGGATGTCCCAAATTCAATATTTGCCAAACTTGGAGGGGGTGGGGAGGAGAGTCAGCTGAAGACTTGCTGTGAGTTTTGCATCTCCAACTTGCGTGGGGGCATTCTGCTGCTCCCAGAAGTCCCTAATTGCACAAACCACAAAACAGTTCACTTTGTTGGAAAGTAAGTGAAAGTCCATTGTTCGTGGTTTGTGAACAGCAGTGAAACACCATTTTCTCAGTCCATGCCCCTCTCTAGTAGAGATACATGCTATTAAGTATCTGCAATAAATGCTTTAAATAAAGATATGGAATTAGTTCAGTTGCAAAAGGATAGTCATGTATATACTTCGCCCTTCAACTTCATAAAAACTCCCAAATAACTTTCAAGTAACTCTTAAAACATCACATGGGGGGGAATGAAACATCCACATTGAAACAGAACAAAAAGTGATTTGGAAAAATCCAAAGAAATACTGTAATAGATTTGCTGGCTCTGGAATGACACAGGACTCTGTTGCATGTAGGCATGACTCGAGGGAGGATTCTGTAATTGGAGTGCTACCATTGGACAGGAGGGTTTAACCAGTGGAATGAGAGGGAATGAAAGTGTACTAAGGGAATAAAATGCAGTAGGTTAAACATTGACCTTAAATGTGATCATTAAGCAACAGTAGTCAGGTGGTAGCATAGATGAACCAGTGAACACACGTATTTTGATAAAAAGACAAATCAGAAATCAATGGTTTTTTTAAAAAGTATATCATCACAAGCATCTAAGCATTGGAAAATGCAATTATTCATTTATTTTTACGTAACACTAATGCAAATGTTTGCTTTACATTGATTCCCTTTCTCCTTTTATGACCTCAGAGTCAATAACTCTATAAAGGGATGTTAGGCTGAAGAGTGGTAAATGGCCCAGAGTTACCCAGTAAACTTTGTAAATGAGCAGGGATTTGAACTTGGGTCTCTCTGTTCACTGTCCAGCAAGCACATCAACCATTACTCTGGCAGGTTTTATCAGATTCATACTTGCTATATACATGGTGCCAACGATGAAATACATAGTGTATACAATGCTATATACATAGTGGTAGGATAGAAAAATATGCAGCAATTAATATGTTTTTTTTCCATTGTATGAAAATTCACATGGTTTGCAGGCAATATGCAGACTAGGCTGCCCAGATTTGGAGAACTAGATTATGGCGATTCTGGAGATTTTCTGCATCCAACATCAAAATAATCTGGCTGTCCTTGGGTTCTATACATATAATTTGATGACAGTGGAGATGGCACTCAAGTCCAAAATGCCAGGCTTGAGCTTGGTGATGTTTCCAAGGGAACAAAGGATTAGATCATTTCCCTTACGTTTTCTGAATGTTTTGAAATAAAGCCCTTAACACACACAAAAAAATTGTCAGATGGAACTTGCCTGAACTCTCAAGCTTAATTTAGCAAATAAAGGCAATAAAAACCTACATTCCAGGTAAGTTTGGATGAAAGGGAGCACAAAGGAGCCTTTATGGAACACCAGGTCACAGCCCTTCAGATCCAGAACATCAATGTCATTCAGCAGTTCCCTCTGAGCTGCATGGAAGGTCTCCTCCCAGGAGAGAATGGGGAAAGCACCCTTCCTTGAGAACACCCAGACACTCTTCTGAGTAACCTCAAGTAAGCTCATAACTGAGAGAGGACTTTACCTTGTATTCCAGCTTGTGGGTGAAGCTGATGCAAACATGCATAGTGGTGTTTCGTGGAGGTGCTGCTCCTTCCATTCAATGCTGAGGGTATCCCAGAGTCCAGAAAGCAACCAACATGGCCAGGCACTGCAGAACACAACCAAGAGATACCACAGTTGTTAGAGAGGCATGACTCCAGACTTCTTTAGTAAAGAATCTGGTCACGTAGAGCTAGAATTTTGAAGTGGAGGTTCAAACCAACACAGGGTGCATTTCTCTGGCTGTTTGTGCCATGTTCCCCACTGTCCATTTTGACACTAATTCTTGGTGCAGAGGGACAGCACAGTAACCCATGTGAAATCTCCCTGTCCAGTTATGTCTGGCTCAGGATGGCTGCTGTTACTTTCTTCTCCGTGAAATGTACGTGCTCAGGAGCACAATTTTCTCTGTCATCACTTTATATATTGGAGATAGAGAATATATAAAGGAGGAGGAAAAGAGGAGGGTCAGGAGTCTTGGCAGGCTTAAAGTCAGAGCATAACTAGAATTGTTGGTACCTGGAGGAAAGGGTTCCACCTCGCTCCCGCTGGTCCCTGAGTTAGGGGCTCTAACTTCATTTCTAGGTTTTGGCACCTTCCAAATTTTGCCGTGCTGCTCCTCTGCCCTAGTAATACACCCCTGCTTAAAGTACTGGTTAATTAGCTTCATCGCGTGTCCAAATAGAACATGCAACAGGTATAAAGCTAAATAAATAAAAAGCGGTATAAGCACAGGTATTTCCTAAGGTAAGACCTTTCCCCGCTTTGCTCAGTCAGAGAAGTCTGGAAAACTACAGCACTGCTTCAGGCCAGCTACTTCCCAAGCTGATAAGCCTGTACTCCACCCACTCCTGGTTCACCTAAAATAAACAGCATGAGTGTGCACTGTTCATTTCACTTCCCAAGCCAGAATCATCGATAAAATCAGCCAAGTACTCCGGATCAAGGTAAAATATGTCTTGGGAATTGGGGGCAGCCCCTCCTCTTTCCCCCAAGCTTTGAAAAATGGAGGGGCTGGTTGGGGTGGGCAGGATCTGCCTAGGGTGTGAGAACTCTGATTTCACTCCTTCTTCCCACCTCCCATTTTGCTAACTGGAGACAGACAATTTAAAGAGACCCAAACCAAAGAAAGGCATGTGCCCCAGTTCCCACTAAAATTATTTATACTGAAAAACAATTCTACTTACAAAAATCATTTAAAAACCACTATATCATTCCTTCCTGTATGTATCATAGTAAAATTGCTCTGTTATACTCTGTGGGTTTCATTTTGTCTGAGAACAGATGTTAATCATGAGACACAATGACAATTAAGAATGGTGGACCTTCATTCTAGTCTGGATCAACACCAAACCAAGGTTAAACTGCCTTTTTGTGCTGTTTATGAAACATCTTGATAAATGCAAATGGAATAAGATTTTTTTCTTTTTACTTACATAGGGTGTGCACAATCAATATCTGCCATCTTTTGCCCCAGATGGGTGATTTTATGGGGGAGGTGGGTTTTGTTTTCTTTTTATATGCTTTATATGGTTGTAATAATATTTTGTAAGCTGCCCAGAGTAGTGGCATGTTCACTAAATGGACTGGGTATAAAGCTAAATAAATAAAAAGCGGTATAAGCACAGGTATTTCCTAAGGTAAGACCTTTCCCCGCTTTGTTTAGTCAGAGCAGTCTGGAAAACTGCAGCACTGCTTCAGGCCAGCTCCTTCCCAAGCTGATAACCCTGTTCTCCGCCCACTCCTGGTTCACCTAAAATAAACAGGACGAGTGTGTACCGTTCATTTCACTTCCCAAGCCAGAACCACCGATAAAATCAGCCAGGTACTCCGGATCAAGGTAAAACATGACTTGGGAATTGGGGACATAACCCCTCCTCTTTCCCCCAAGCTTTGCAAAATGGAGGGGCTGGTTGGGGTGGGCAGGATCTGCCTAGGGTGTGAGAACCTCTGATTTCTCTCCTTGGGGAAGGCGTTGTGCAGGACTGCAGAAGAATGCATGGAGATCCAATACTTGGGAAAGTTGCTTTCAGGGGCAGCAGTGCCTATAATCTCTCTGCCAGCCCAGCCACTGAGGGACTCTGGGAGTTGTAGTCTAAGACCTTTCCAAAGTTTGCTAGAGTTATTTCTTTGGAAGAAAGGCTGGGTCCTCGGTTCAGAATGTTGACTTCTCTTTCCTCATATTCAGGTTGCAAGTCAGTGTACATTTTCCTGGGAGTAAACCCAGGGATTTACTTAGCAGTGGGATTTTATATACGCCTGCAGTGCCGTTCATTTTTCTTGCTTCTTTTCCTGGCTATTTCTTTAAGGAGTAAATAAACGGAAGCCTGTTTGCTCATTGGGGGCACTTTGCTTTGTGTCTCCTGTTACAAGGCATTCACTCACAGTTAACAGGGGAGGGCAGCAGAAGAAAAGAGAAGGCATTCTTTTTCTGATCCTATTTCTACATCTCAAATTCATTTGCTACTGCTTCCAGCTGAGACTTCACTTTAAACGTCCTCTCAACAAAATTCCAACCTTCCTAGGCCTCCTGAAGCAAAATTCTTGGAACTTCTAAATACAGAAGTATTTTCTTCCTACTCTCAGTTTCCGCTTTAATTCTACTGATGCACAGTCTGTGTGACGGGATGTTTGTGTGTGTACTGCTAGTCAGCTTATTTTGGGACAGAAAGGCTCACTTTTTGCTTACAATTCAGGAACCCAAATAATTTTCCCCACTCCTTGGCCAGGATGAAGCCAGAAGGTGAGCAAGGACGACCCCCGTTGATCTCCGTTAAGGGAGTTCCCATGATCAAGACTTTCGCCGATATTATGGGCGAGGTTGAGGTTTTCCAAGCGCATCCTGGTGACTTACTGATCTCAACGTATCCCAAGTCTGGTGAGTGAGGCTTCGGACGGCATTCTCACATGCAAAAGGGAAGCGCGTTAGGCATTTGTATGCTGGTAGCTTCCAATTATTTCCTCTTCCCCCCCACTCATAAATTCCAGCAGAGCTTTAACCGAGCCAGCTTCCTTTGAAACAGACTTGTGTGGACAAACCTTAGTAGCCTGTTCTTCTCATGTGAAAGATCCTACTTTGAGTCTACTGCAACTTGTATGCCAATGGAGGTGTTTTCCTGCCTCTTGGACCTGTTTACTCTCCAGTAATGACAGTCTCCACCTTCTCCATATCTTTGCAAGGCTGCTTTCTGTCTTCAAACAAACAAACCAATTCATCCACAAATGTGTGTCGTTTTGCTCACACCTCAGTCAACTCCTTATGAGAACACCTGGCCCAGCCTTTGTGGAGCAGGACCGTGACGGTTACACAACTCAAGTCTTGCCTGTTTCCAGTCTCCCTGTTGGTCAGACTCCTAGCCAGAAGTGTGGTAATGAGGCAGCCAGTCTTGCAGTGGTGCCTGGCCTCACAGCCTAAAAGCACCCGCGCTTTTCGATTTCTAGGAACAATGGCATCATTTTGCACCTCCCTGTTCCTCTGAGCACAGCTGTAGTCCACATATTAGGTGATTAGAGGGTGAAGCATGATTTTGCCTCCCAGGAACAGTATTTTGTAAAGGAATTTTGGTGGCTTGGTCCTCAGCATGCAGTTAAAATCTATTAGCTATTTAAAAAAGGCCTCCTCTGGTCTGAGGTGAAAAGTGTTAGAAGTTAATTTTTAAGAATCAACACAGCTATCTGCACTCTTATTTTTGTTTTCCTGTTTGTTTGTTTGTTTGTTTGTTACATTCTTGGGGTATGTAGCTATGGGTGTTCTGTCCTTAAGCAAAGCATGAAGTTTACCTCCAAATTTCTGAGTTAAGTACCTCCCCTAGCCCCGCCAGTGCCTTTTTCCCGTGGACACTAAAGGAGCACATATTTACTGTCGAAGAAGGTTGAATCAGGTTGTAATGAAAGAATGGCATGGACAAGGTGAGAAGACTGGAATTGGCCTCAATGTATTTAAAAATATGGATAGCTGAGGCATGGGGGGGGATCAAAATTTATATTACAGCAATATTATCCTGTAGTTCAGCCCTGATTTGGAGCAACCATTGCTGTCGTACCCTTTCAGGAACCACCTGGATCAGCGAAGTCATTGACCTGATCTATAAAGAAGGCAACACGGAAAAATGCAGACAAGAACCCATCTATATGCGTGTTCCTTTCTTAGAGTTTTCTGTTCCTGAACTTCCCACAGGTAAAACATGCCATGTTTTCTGCACTCCACACAACATGCTGTGAGGGATGACAGGTGTGAGACATGGGAGAACTGCCTGGAATCACTCTTTCCTCAGGCACCTTCCCTAAGGGAAACAGTGAGTGTGGAAAAGGAGACTTCTAGTTCAGTGTATCTGGAGGACAATACTTTGAAAGGACTGGCTCCCGGGGCACTCCAAAGAGTTGCAGGAGAAGCCCCTTCATCCCCTCTTTCCCCCATCTAGGCATTGAACTGCTAAAAAAAGCACCTCGGCCGTGTCTAATAAAAACCCACCTTCCCATCCAGTTGATTCCTAAATCCTTCTGGGAAAAGAAATGCAAGGTGAGAGGATAGAATTCCTTATTATTGCACCATACAGAGATTTTTTCTTCATGTCTTCCAAAGGTAAGTCTCAAGTTCTTATGAAATCAGGCTTGAAAGTACAGGGACAATGTAAATTCTGAGTACTGGGTACGCGTTGTGTAGTAGTGGTTGGAGTGATATCCTAGTACTCTGGAAATCTGGGTTTCACACTCACTGGGTGTATGTGGCACTGATAAATCCATTTCTGAACTATCTCAATTCTCTTGAAAACACTATTAATAATAAAATAATCATGTGCAGTCAATTCTGACTTGCAGGAGCATTCTCAGGGTTTTCCAGGTAGAGAATACCCAGAGGTTGTTTACCATTCTCTTAACAAATACTGTTAGGGTTGATATAAGTCAGATGCAACTTGAAAGTGCATAAGACACAAAAAGTCTGAGAGAAAAACTTCTCACAAGGAAAGTGGAGAATTGAGCAGGATTTCTAGATGTTGTGGGGAGGTCCTTCAGATATTTGCATTTTCTTCTGCCATCCTGCATAAGTGGAATAAATTGAGCAGTTTGGATTAATTTGCATGTTAATCTCTACATGCAGATCATCTATGTGGCCAGAAACGCCAAAGATGTGGCAGTCTCCTACTATTACTTCTACCAGATGGCAAAAATACTTCCGGATCCTGGAACCTGGAATGAATTCCTGGAGAAATTCATGGCTGGGGATGGTAAGGAAATTAACCAGGTATATGCTGGGAAGATACAGTTTACCTGAACCAAGTAGTATTGGGATTTGTTGGATTACAACTCCCATCAATTTCATTTACCATGGCCAGTGATTGTGTTTGCTAAAGGTGAAAAATTCCCATTGTCCCTGGCCTGTGACCATGCTGGATGAGGCTAGTGGGATTTGGTGTTTTACAAAATTTGTGGGGGTTTGTGATTCCTCGATACAAACTCTCACCCCAATGCACTATGTGCTGTAGCACTGGATTATGACCTTACTCCGCTGTAAAAGTAGGGTTTCTGCTTTCCAGAAAGTTTTTCACTAAAATACCTGTCTCTCTTCCAAGTTGCTTTTGGATCCTGGTATGACCATGTCAAAGGCTGGTGGGACAAGAGAAAAGAACAAAGGATGCTCTACCTCTTCTATGAAGACTTGAAAGAGGCAAGATATTTCCCTCCTCACAAACAGTAATTCTCCACCACTAGCTCGTCCATACCTCTTAATTCCAGTTCTACAAGGAGGAAAGTAAAAGTCATAATAAGGTTTTCCGAACAAGAAGTCCTTGTTTTTTCCATCTGTCTTCATCAGTAATGATTAGGCTCAT